TGGACCAGAGAAGCAGTTGATAATGGGGGGGGGGGGGTCCCAACCGATGACATAGGCAGGAGACATGATGGAACTGATCTTCTGCCCCCCTCTCTCTTCACTCTGTACCAGAGAAGCAGTTGGTACCGGGGGGGGGGGTCCCAACTGATGACATCAAGTCAAGTAAGGAGACTCCCCCCTCTCTCTTCACTCTGGACCAGAGAAGCATTTGGTGCCGAAACGATGACATAGGCAGGAGACAAGATGGAACTGATCTTCTGCCCCTTCTTTCTTCATGTTACTATCCATGCTGCTATTATCATGTAGTACAGTACTTCATAGTTCAGTGATTTTGTTTGTTTATTTGACATTTCTAATAAAAATAATTCAGGTTCCAATTATGTCTTTGATTGAAAGAATTCTTTGTACCTTGCCCCAGAATTCTCTTGCTTTTTTTACAGAACCACCATATGTGAAAGAAAGTTCCTGTCCCGCTTTGATGGCAAACCAGGTCCCATCCCACAAATTGCACTGCTAAGTATGGTCAGAATATTTTTAAAGTATGTGGAAAATTGTCAAAAATAAGGTTCTTTTTAATGTTAATAACCCTGATGAGAATCTTTGCACTTTGGGATTGATTCTGAGTAAAATTTCTGCATGGTTATTTTGCAGAGAAAGGAGCAATTTCTCCTTAAAGAACATAACATTCCAGTGCAGAAATATTATTTCCTACACAGAAAATATTATAATGTGTAAAATTTGCACATGATTGGTTTGCATAGAAAAGAGCATTTTCTGCGCAGGAGTTAGTATTTCTACAGTGAAAATGCTGGGTTTTGCACAAAATAAGTCCCAAATTCAAAACAGCCCTCAAAAACGGTGCAATTTTCAAAGATTTTCTCACAGTGGGAAGAAAACTGCTGACATCACTCATCGCTACCTTAAAGAAGAAACTTAGTGAAGAACGACGTCCCTAAATGCCAGGATGTCATCATAGCCAGAACACCCTGCTACATCTAAGTGAACAATTAGGAAATGATTACCTGGTCCCCAGCACCAACTTCTTCTTCACTTCTGTGCAGATGAACACCCTGAGCAATATCTGGTGACTGTTGCTCCAAAGCCACGAGAACATTGCAAGTTTTGTAGTCAAAGCCTGTGGAGCAGAATAAACACAATAATTTATTATTTATTTATTTCATTTCTACCTCACCTTTCTCGACCCGGGAGGAGACTCAAGGTGGCTTATAAATCTTCCAAAAATTAAATGCCGCACAGGTAAACAATAAAACACGTCTCATAAAAATATAAACAATCTGAGCATATAAACAATTAAAACACATAACAATCTATCGAACAGATTAAAACTACATATAAAATGACGAATCATGATCCCAAGTCCAAATCATTTTCCAGAATCCATCGTCAAGCTGTTGAAGTCTCATTCTGTAGCTTCCTATTCACCAAACACCTGTGTAAAAAGCCAGGTCTTAAGTTTCTTTCTAAAAACCAGGAGGAATGGGGCCTGCCTGATGTCACTGTGGAGGGAGTTCCACATCCAAAGGGCCACCACTGAGAAGGCCCTGTCTTTCGTCCCAACCAATCGCGCTTGCGAAGAGGTTGGGACAGAGAGCAGGGCCTCCCCAGCTGATCTTAAAGCTCTTATGAACTGTATTTTAATGTATTTTATATTGATGATGTATATTTGCTTTGATCTTAATGTATTGAATCCTCTGTTGTTAGCCGGACTGACTCCCTCTCCGGAGGTCGAAAAGACCGGGTTATAAAAACTCTAAATAAATAGTGGGTTGTTGTAGGTTTTTTCGGGCTATATGGCCATGGTCTTGAGGCATTTTCTCCTGACATTTCGCCTGCATCTATGGCAAGCATCCTCAGAGGTAGTGAGGTCTGTTGGAAGTAGGAAAATGGTTTATATATCTGTGGAATGACCAGGGTGGGACAAAGGACTTTTGTCTGCTGGAGCTAGGTGTGAATGTTTCAACTGACCACCTTGATTAGCATTTAATGGCTTGGAAGTGCCTGGGGGAAATCTTTCGTTGAGAGGTGATTTAATGTGCCTGATTGTTGACTCTCTGTTGTTGTGCTCTTCTAATTTTTGAGTTTTTTAATACTGGTAGTCAGATTTTGTTCATTTTTCATGGTTTCTTCCTTTCTGTTGAAATTGTCCGCATGCTTGTGGATTTCAGTGGCTTCTCTGTGTAGTCTGACATGGTTGTTGTGAGAGTGGTCCAGCATTTCTGTGTTCTCAAATAAAATGCTGTGTCCAGGTTGGTTCATCAGGTGCTCTGCTATGGCTGATTTCTCTGGTTGAAGTAGTCTGCAGTGCCTTTCATGTTCCTTGATTCGTGTTTGGGCGCTGCGTTTGGTGGTCCCTATGTAGACTTGTCCACAATTACAACAATTACAACAAAATTACAACAGCAAAACAACAGAGAGTCAACAATCAAGCACATCAAATCACCTCTCAACAAAAGATTCCCCCAGGCACTTCCAAGCCATTAACTGCTAATCAAGGTGGTCAGTTGAAACATTCACACCTAGCTCCAGCAGACAAAAGTCCTTTGTCCCACCCTGGTCATTCCACAGATATATAAACCCTTTTTCCTACTTCCAAAAAAGCATAGGTGAGTGTTTTCAATCTTAAGTTTTTTTGTATGGGTGCCACTTGCAGTTGAAAATCGTGTTGTATGTACAGATCTTATGAAATAGATCACACAAACACCTTTTTGCAAACTACTATAATGCATTCTAAATTCTGCAAAGCTGATTTCAGCCTGGGATCTGGGATATATTGGGATTTGCTACAGCACATTAGAAGGTTTAACCTAGACTTCCTTACAGCTTTCTTTAATGCACTGTATATCCTTCAATGTTGCAAAGCACATTGATGGTGTGTATTTTGAGGCTGCCACAGTTTGGAGTAAGCCTAAATTTACGAAGGAAGGAAGGAAGGAAGGAAGGAAGGAAGGAAGGAAGGAAGGAAGGAAGGAAGGAAGGAAGGAAGGAAGGAAGGAAGATCTATGTTTGTGGCTTGTTTTTGTTTTTTGTTATATTTTAAGTGATGTTTATGTTCTATTTTGTAACCAAAAAGGGTAATTGCCTTTTATACGAGGTTTTACTTTTCAGTTTCAGTTACCCATGTTCAACCGCTGCCTGAAAATATTACGAAATCTCCCCTTACCCATGGTCCAAAAATATTACTCGTATAGGTTTCAGTCCTATCCATGGCTTCAGGCATCCATCGTGTGTGTGTGTGTGTGTGTGTGTGTGTATGTGTGTGTGTGTGTGTGTGTTAGAACATATCTCCATATGCAAGGCAGGAAGGACTGCTGTAATTTTAATGTCTATTCGTCTGAACCATAATGACAACTGTATGTTATAAATAAATACATATTCATTCCCAATAGAGAGAATGCTTAGTAAGGTCACTGATCGGCTGAGATTCTTTCCAGGAAGGAAAAATATCCATGTCTTAAGCTGCTTCAAAGTGAGCTGGACAAAAGCTTCAGAAACATTTCTGCAGGACAAAGCATAGACCAACATGCATTTCTGAGTGAGAAGACAGTAAAGAGGAAGCCAAGACGGCTTGGCTGTGCCAAAATTAGGTGTTTTTGTCATTACAATTAGAGCTCCCCTATTCATTTTTATGGGAACAGGTCAAAACTATGAACAAAAAATCTGACCCCTTCACATCGAATTAGGATGATACAACTGCAAACGAAGTGGAAAGTCCACAATTTGACTTTTTCAAAAATGAAATGTAATCTCAATTTATTCTGAGTGGCAGCATGTATGAGGCTGAGCACTCAATTCCTTTTCCTATATTAGTTTTATGCCCCAAATTGTGCATATTTCCAAACTGCTGTGTGTCCTGTGATGAGGAGAGGGGTCCAGGAATTGCAGTTGAAGGGAAATACCAATTTAGAAAGGGAAAACCAGTTTCCTCTCCAGGAGTGCTCCAAACAAAGTGGAATTCATCTCTGGGGAGCTATCATTTTTTAAAAAATCTGAGAAATAAGCTCTCCTACATAACATGTAGTTAGTCTTTGAGCAAGATGGCCATGGGTCCTACTTTGCAGAAGGCAAAGTTCTCCATGTATAAAGGGACATTCTCTGAAGGTTTCTTCTATTTCAAATGCTGTCTGATAAAAAAAGGTAAAGTGTCCAAATATGTTTGAAAAGCCTATATGTTGCTTGAAGTCAATACCTGGATAGTGGGCATACCTCAGTGCTCTTCATTCTGATAAGATGTACGGTATTTTTATTTACGAGGGTTGAATGAAAAGTAATGCCTCCACCTTCGTTACTTGGGTTTGGATGGGAATATTTTAATAAATCAAACACAGAAATAATCCTTAGAATGTGCTCTTTAACTACTACTATTTACTTTTCTACATAATCACCAGACAATTGGATACATTTCTGCCAGCAATGAACAACTTTTCTGAAGCCGTCACAGAAGAAGTCGGCACTCTGTTTCCGCAACCCATCATGCACAGATCTTCCTATAGCCAAGCAAAGCAATAATGTGACCCACATGTTCTTGTGAAATGGCGATTATGCTTGAAATTTCTCTCTGCACAGGGTTCCATACTTTGCACTTTAACAACACAACTGTTCAATGCTAAGGCTTCCCACCAAAATGGAACTGTAGAGGAGAGTCTACTGATCAAAGCAGTCCCTGCCGCATACTAGTACTGCCATCTGTTGAGGAGTTACGAAGGTGGAGGTATTACTTTTCATTCAACCCTCAAAAATTAGAGGAGTTACTTCTGAATTTATATCTTGACATACAGTTAGCACATGGAAAGTATATGCAAATGCTTATCCTATTTTTGGCCATGCACAGTGTTGTAAAAATGTAAATGCTCACTACCCATGCATTAGTATAACTCAAAGGTGGGAATCAATATCTGGGTGGTCACACAATTCTCAACTCCAGCTATAACTGTAAGAAAGCAAACTACAGAATGTTCCTAAGGTGTACAGAAAGCATATTTTATTAATGGCAAATGCCATAAGCCCCAATATCAGGAGCTCTTTACAGGGCCGTAGCCAGAAAAAAATTTCGGGAGGGGTTGAAATTTTCGGGGGGGGGGGGGTGAAATTTTCACAGGGGGGGGGGTTTGAAACCTGCCTCCTAGCTCACGCTGAAGCAAAGAGCACAGCAGGGGGCAGAGCAGCCTTCAATAGCCTGCAGCTCCGCCCTTGTCAACCACCTCCACCAAGTCTGGCCTCCTTAATGAGAGCATTCAACACCCCCCCCCCCCAACTTGGTTGCTTCACTACTGTTCTGTTGCACGCTGGGCCTGTAAATAATTGTCTTTAGAACAGGATGTGCAACCTTTGCCCAGCGGGAAGCCAGGGGCCTAAAGAGAAGTTCTCAGAGGTTTTCACCACAAACAGTCTTTAGATGGCTTGAGAAGTACAACAAAGTCTTTTATTAATGAACAATCAAACAGAAACTTCTCTTGTCTTCAGTAAAGTTAAGCAAATGATTCCAAGCTTTTAGGCAACTGGTGAATTCCTAATCTTGCCCACGAAGGACAGGCAACTGTCTTCAATAACTTCTTCTTTAAAGGAAAATCCCATTTTAACTTCTCCCAGGCTGACTGTAATCTAACCCTTACTGATGTGGGCTCCGCTACCGGGTCGAACTGCGTCTCGAACACCGAGTGGACCTACCAGCAAGGCAGTAGATGTTCTCCAGCTGGAGTTCTTTGGTCTTTAGGGCTGTTTTCCTGGAAATTCTTTGGAGACTCTTAAGACCTTTCTCCCCAGAAGGTCTTAAGGGTTGAAGCTTTTGTACAGGGGAAGCTTGCACACATCCTATACATAAGCTTTCCTTGCTGAGACTAACTAAAAATGGCTCCCTTCCCTTCCCAATTGCCCTGAGCAAGGGGCGGGACCAAAACTTAACAATGATGGACAGGTGACTTGCCCTATGACTGCAACCAAAGAAGCCACCTATCTGCAGAGTCCCTGAAACCTAGGACTGCAAGCAAACATTTAATACAAAGTAAATAAAGTTGGAGCTCCTGGTACAGCTGTACCAGAACAACTACATCGGCTATTGCTGCAAGTAATGACAGTGTGAATAAATTGCTAATATTTGCTTGAGATAGTGCTTGCAGTTCTGGAGGGACTCTTGATTTTTTGCATCTCATAGACTTAGCATGGGGATTTGGTTAACCAGTTAAAATTCATGAGTAAACCAGTTTTTTTAAAAAAAAATCTGAAACATTTCGGGGGGGGTTGAACCCCTAACCCCCCCCCCCTCGCTACGGGCCTGGCTCTTTAAGACGTATTTAGCTGGAAATTGTGTTAGTACCCACTTGTTGCTTACAGTTGCTTTAGTCTTTTTAAGAAATCAGCTACCCAAAGTGTGTCTGAATATGTCTATTATTTTCCACAATGAGATGAAAAGCCATTTCTTTCTGCAATTGCATAAAGTAACAGAAGGACTACTGGCAAAGAAGTAGAGTAGTGTACCAAATAAAGAAAGGCTGCATTCTTTTACTAGTACATTCAACTGGCTGTGACAGCTTCTCTCTGCCACTTGAAACTCAGTACTCCAGGGTTTAATTCTCATTGTGGGGAGGGTACTCCAACCACCTGCTTGGGATATGGAGCTCCTTCCTTTGAGGCTGGTGCACCTGTGATGCTTGTTCATAAGCGGATCTGCTGGCAGACAACTTGAATATGCCCCTATGACAGATCTTTCTATTTGTTCAGAATTAATATGACATCCTACGGCAGTGAGCCTTTCTTTGTCAGTGAAGACTTGCTTAACTATGCCAAAGACCTGGAAAAGAAGCAATATTGGATGCATTTGCTCATTATGATGAGCTATGCTTTGTGTCTGCCACCATTTGTTGCTTCAGCTATGTATCAATTTATTCCCCCCACCCTACCCAGATCAGGCCTGTTTTTGCCCTCCCCATTCTTAAATTCTAATTTCAAGATGGGAAGCTGGAAAAAAAAGCCTGGGGCAAGATAGGATTGTGGATTTAGCCACCATGACAAACCATGGTTTAAGCAAACCAGAGTTCATAAGTTCGATCATAACCTCAAATGGTAGAATCATAGAATCATAGAGTTGGAAGAGACCTCATGGGCCATCCAGTCCAACCCCCTGACAAGAAGCAGGAATATTGCATTCAAAGCACCCCTGACAGATGGCCACCCAGCCTCTGTTTAAAAGCTTCCAAAGAGGGAGCCTCCACCACACTCCAAGGCAGAGAGTTCCACTGCTGAACGGCTCTCGCTGTCAGGAAGTTCTAATGTTCAGATGGAATTTCCTTTCTTGTAGTTTGAAGTCATTGTTCCGCGACCTAGTCTCCAGGGCAGCAGAAAACAAGCTTGCTCTCTGGAGACTGGTGTTTTATGATTGCCTAATAAACCATGTTGGGATTTATAAATCATACTAGGGTTGCCTTCCAGCAGACCTGCTTATGAACAACCATCACTGAGTATACCATTTAGACCCAACAAGCCAAAATTCAAATCAAACCTGGCTTGTGGACAAATCCAGACATGTCTACTTGGAAACAGTTGTTGATACCACCAGCTAATAATAATAATAATAATAATAATAATAATAATAATAATAATAATAATAATCCTTTATTTATACCCCGCTACCATCTCCCRAAGGACTTGGTGTGGCTTACAAGAGGCTGAGCCCAAATACATCAGTACACAACAATAACAACAATACACAATAAATGAACTCAAAAAACAAAACAATAAAAACAAAGCAATACACATTAACAAAACACCACGACGCGTTAAAACCTATGGCAGGGCCAAATGTAATAATTATTTTTTWAAAAATATGCGGGTAATGACCAGGTGAAAAGGATAGGTATTTGGAGGGGGGATGGGGAGTGCAGACATCCTGGATCTCTAGTAAAGTGCATTTGGGGACATATTGCTTGGAGTTTCCTTATTCTGGGAAGGCACACTGGAACAACCAGGTTTTCAAGCTCCTCCTAAAAACTGCCAGCATTGGGGCATGCCTGATATCCTTAGGGAGAGAGTTCCAGAGTCGAGGGGCCACCACCGAGAAGGCCCTGTCCCTCGTCCCGACCAATCGCACTTGTGATGCAGGTGGGATCGTGAGCAGGSCCTCTCCAGATGATCGAAGAGATCATGTGGGTTCGTAAACAGAGATGCAGTCACGCATAATAAATAATAATATAATAAACTTTATTTCTACCCCACCACCATCTCCCCGATGGGGACTCGGAGCGGCTTACTTGAGGCCAAGCCCGGACAACATAATACAGCAATAAAATCAAAGCATATAAACAGATGACAACAACATTATCAAAATGACAATAATAATAATAATAATAATAATAATAATAATAATAATATAAAAATTCCAATAGACACAATCACAATAAAAATGACAATAGACAGGCCACATATTCCGAATAAAAAACAATTAACAGACTATGATGAGATAAAATAGGAGCAGGACGTTTAAATGGAACTCATAAAACACACAGAGTTGTGGGACAGAACATCCTATTTCGAGGGCATGAACTCCGTTAGCTGAAAATGTTGAGGGGGTGTAAAATATCATGCTGTGCACCTACTCGCCAAAGGTGCAGCGGAAAAGCTAGGAGGTGTACCAGGAATCGTATTATACTGTTCCTCGCATAATAGTCGCATCTTTTACTCACTTACCTGTGTGTCTGCCCCATTTGCAGCTATGGGGCTTCACTGAGCTGGCAGTGAAGCCTTGCATTATAGTCGCACTCTACTTTTTTAGCCAAAAAGAGGGGATGTGATTATTACATCATGAAATGCAATAGATAGATAGATATTCTCTAATGCATTTAGTCCCAGTCAACATTATTGAAGGAGTGAAGTATGACATAAAAAGTCTGACATAAATAGTAGGGGCACGCCTAAGATAACCTTTGTCCACCTAATAAATAGTTTTCTCTCTACCTTGTGAAATCTATTTCATAGCAATGTTTGAACATGATTGCATCAGCCTCTTTCTTCTTTTACCAACAGTGACTTGTTCTACAGCTTTTGAGTTAGTAGGCTAGTTTTGCTATACTGTAATATTCATTCTTCCCTTTTCCACCAACCTTTTGATGAATCATCATAACCTATGTTCATAATTGTGTCTCGGACGATCTGCTGGTAATCCACCACAGCTGAGGACGTGATCTCTCCACAGAGCAGCACCATCCCAGTTTTGCACACTGTCTCTAAAAGAAAAGGAAGGCAAGTTGAAATCCCTATGAGACTGGCTGGAGGATTCATTGGCAACAAGAGCGCTCTCCAAGCATTCAAGGTTGCAAGTATTCATTAGCCTTTCCCTTCATAAACCTTTTGTGTATCCCACATATACACTTCAATGTACATATCGTACATTTGGGGAAAAGGATGACCATTGACATCGTTACCTTTTGAAAAACCAGAATCTCCAAACCTTTTGGAAGCGTGACCTTTTGGAGATTAATTGGCATTCACTACCATTTGGAAAAATCATAACCCTTTTGTAAAGTATGATCTTCTTGAGAAGAGCTAAAAACTCGTTTGAGTGAATCTTCTCTTCAGTGGTATATATCCACTAGTATTCATGCAAGGCAAATTAGGTTTGTCTGTTGTTAGACTGATATACCTGGTGGATACCTCTTTGAACTGTTAGGAAAAAAGATTATGCCAATGAACAAAATATATAGCAGATCTGCAGAAGTGTTATTTGAGTTGCCCAAAAATACATCTACTCTACCATAAAATATATTTGGCTTTAAAACATGCTCTTAAGAGACAAAAATATGCAGTCTTTGTTGAAGGTAACATAGTTGTATTGTCAAAGGCTTTCATGGCCGGAATCACTGGGTTGTTGTAGGTTTTCCTAGCCCGGAAAACCTACAGCAACCCAGTAACATAGTTGGTTTACTTACAAACTTCATGTATTCAGCATACAAGTACATTGCTTATCAGTCCAAGTACAGATAGGTTTGAAGTGGTTTCTCTGTACAGATAACACAGAGTACCTTTCTTAGAATCAATAGCAACATCTTTTTCATTCTGAGAGTCTAATGGAGTCTGCACAGTCTGAAAATCTAATGGTGTCTGTCCTCTGAAATGGAGTCTGAGGACTGAATAGTCCCAGATCTGATCACATGGTCTGCAGTCCCTCCCATACCAACACACACATATACAATATAGTAAGCAAAACAAAATTATAAAGAAACAAATTACTAGTAGAGGATTGATGAAGGTTGCTATTTCCAACAGCCCTTCTCAACCAATCAAACTGACTACTAGTCCCATCTATAACTGGCACCTATCCATCCATTCATATCCCTTCTTTCCCCGAGAGTGAAACTTTAGCTTTGTGGTTCCATTTTCAAAAAGTTAAGTATCACAAAAGAATGGTAAATAAGGTACATTCTTCAAATTTTAGTAGTTCCAGTTAAGTTATGTGGCAGAAAGGACATGAAAATACAGTCTGAGATGTAGTTTGAAGAGAATGAAACTTTTCCTTGTTTTTTCTCTTGCTGGAATTAGCAGAAATCAGGGATGTAGTGGAGGCCTAGTTTTGCATGCCCAGTGTGGAATACATCTCACCAAGCTAAAACAGTAGATGTGGCTTTTAATGAGACATGCCGCATTATCACGGGGTGTCTGCGCCCTACACCACTGGAGAAATTACAAATATTAGCCAGTATTGCACCACCTGCCATCCGACGGGAAGTAGCAGCCAATAGTGAAAGGACCAAGGCAGAGACATCTCCAGCTCAGGCCCGTAGCCAGATTCGGAGGGGGGGGGCTGAGTTTGATTCTCGGGGGGGGGGGCTGAGTCTAAGAGGGTGTACCTTAGCAAACCTTTTGTATCGTTACCCCAATACCCCCATGCATATGGGATATATTGAGTATGATGATCAGATCATGATATGAATAAACATAACAGTTTAAATAATGCACCAGTAAGGCCTTTCGTAAGGCTGAAGCCCCTCAATCCCGCTGAAGCCCCTCAAGCCCCCCCCCCTCCCCCAGCTACATGCCTGTATCCAGCTCATCCCTTGTCAATGACTTAAATCAAGAAATAGTTTTCTAAGATCTACAGAGACACTCTCTGGAACACCTCAGCAAGCGAGAGTCCAAAATTGGCAGGCCCAAACCCAGAACCTCAACCAATGGCTGATACCAAATGAGAGACTCCCCCCGGGTACACAGAAAACTGGGTGACTTGGAAGGCACTGAACAGACTGCGCTCTGGCACCACAAGATGCAGAGCCAACCTTAAGAAATGGGGCTACAAAGTGGAATCCATGACATGCGAGTGTGGAGAAGAGCAAACCACTGACCACCAGCTGCAATGCAACCTGAGCCCTGCTACATGCACAATGGAGGACCTTCTTGCGGCAACACCAGAGGCACTCCAAGTGGCCCCTGACATGATAAATAAATAAATAGTTTTGATTCTCACATAGCCTAAATTATATGGGTCTTCTACTTCTCCACCACCCAACTCCTATAATGATGGTCATTTTTCTAGGAAATGAAAAAGAGGCAACATTTCAGGGGGCAAATGTTCTCTTACCACAAGCAACCTTTGCATTTGGATCTTGCTTCAAATGAGCATCAAGCACAGCATCGCTAATCTGGTCGCAGATCTTGTCTGGGGGAAAAAGGAACAGAGTACAGTGTTGGTTACATGAAAAAAGAAAATATGGAGTACATATGTCACACTGAACTGAAAAACATAAAGGTGTACTGGTTTTCATTTCCTAGCACATATTGAATGCAAACTCTCCTGATAGAAGAAAAGACAAATCAAAAGAAGCCAGTCCCTGAGCTTCTGTTCATCAACAAAATACAAACGGAGAGTGAGATGGGAATGTATTCTGTCTAAGGTTTGTTGGATCTTCAGGAAAATATACCCCTGTAGCAAACTAAGGCCCTAACACACTTACATAGTGAACATGCTGTGATCGTCCTGGTATCAAATGAGATTAAGTCAAGGTCAGGTCTTGGAAGAAATAAAGGCACATGGGAATACAACTCACTGTAGCTTGGTCCAAAAGAAACATGGAGTGGAAATACCTCGGCACAAATCAGGCACTTTAAGGTCACAATTACTGTCTAGGAACAAGAGATTTAACCAGGAATGGGATTATCTACCCCTTCTAATGCACATTGGGTGGAAGAGAGGAGTATAAACTGGACCCTTTGAATATTGCAAAAGAGATAGCAATTTACTAATCATTTACCTTAAAAAAACTAACAAGAAAGGGAAAGATTCTTCCGGGATTTTCTGCTTCAGAGGTCACTATGAATTTTGCTGTTTACTATGAACTCTTGACTTGTATGACTGTGTGAAGGGGTACATTTGCTACTTCGCCTAAGGCAGCAAAATGTCTTAATCCTTCCCGGATAAACTGTGTAACAGATCTGAGAATGCACTGTTGAAGTCTATAGCCCAGCTAACCAAAAGAAAGCTTGGATTGAGGAAATGATAATAATAAACTTGTATTGTCGAAGGCTTTCATGGCCGGAATCCATGGGTTGTTGTAGGTTTTTCCGGGCTATATGGCCATGTTCTGGAGGCAATTTTTCTCCTGACGTTTCGCCTGCATCTATGGCAAGCATCCTCAGAGGTAATGAGGTCTGTTGGAACTAGGAAAAACTAGGTTTATATATCTGTGGAATGACCAGGGTGAGACAAAAGACTTTTGTTTGCTGGGGCTAGCTGTGGATGTTTCAGCTGATCACCTTGATTTGCATTCAATGGCTTGGTAGCGCCTGGGGGGAATCTTTTGTTGAGGGTGATTTCATGTGCCTGTTTGTTTCCCCTCTGTTGTTTTTCTGCTGTAATTTTTGAGTTTTTTAATACTGGTAGCCAGATTTTGTTCATCTTCATGGTTTCTTCCTTTCTGTTGAAATTGTCCACATGCTTGTGGATTTCAATGGCTTCTCTGTGTAGTCTGACATGGTGGTTGTGCGAGTGATCCAGCACTTCTGTGTTCTCAAATAATATGCTGTGTCCAGGTTGGTTCATCAGGTGCTCTGCCATGGCTGATTTCTCTGGTTGAAGTAGTCTGCAGTGCCTTTCATGTTCCTTGATGCGTGTCTGGGCGCTGCGTTTGGTGGTCCCTATGTAGACTTGTCCACAGCTGCATGGAATACGGCAGACTCCTGCAGAGGTGAGAGGATCCTTCTTGTCCTTTGCTGAACGTAGCATTTGTTGGATTTTCTTGGTGGGTCTGTAAGTGGTTTGTATGTTGTGTTTCCTCATCAGTTTCCCTATGCAGTCAGTGGTTCCCTTGATGTATGGCAAGAACACCCACCCAGAGGAATGCCTCTGGACCATGGCCATACAGCCCGAAAAAACCTACAACAACCCAATAACATAACAATAACAGCCAACATAAATATCTCACTTCACAAAAAACCCTGGTAAAATCAATAAAATACAGCAATCGCTGCAGGTATAAACAACAGTAATCAATCAGCAGCAAAAGTAATTCCTCTACTTCAAGCACAGGAATCCTATTTGTAAGCTCTTCAAATTCTCTTGCTGCTGAAGCAAATTGCGAAACAAGTAATATTCCTATAATATTTTTTCCCCAAAAAAGTTTTTTTTTACTTTATCACCTTCCCCACCAAAAAGCCTACAAGAGGTTTCACTAAACCAAATTGAGATCTTGGTAATTTTCACTGTTATTAGTTGTGAGTTTTTCTGGGTTTTGTGCAGAATCCATTGGATGTTGATGTGAAAACTGGCACTTGATCTCTGATCTTGCCTACTACTGCTGTAAACCATTTCTTCAACCTCTTGAACCTTTAGTTAACGTCACAGAGCCAAGCTAGGAGTTAGCTTTTAAGGCTCTAATTTCACCATTTGACTTTTAAGTCCCCATTGTCGATTTTACTCTGGATTTGTTTTCTTTCATGCATAAAAACACACTCTTAACTTCAATATCCTGATCTGACAGCTGGGGTGGGGGTGGGGAGGTTGCAAATTCTCCAGCCTGTAATCCTATACCCACTTGCCTGGGAGTAAATGTCAGTGAACTCAATGAGACCCTAATAGATGCATGCAGGACTGAATGGTTAAAGAGGCAGTCATTCCCAGAGCAAGGCAAATGTTTAAGGAGGAATGCCATTTTTGGCCTAGATTCAGATCTGAGACATGAGATAGTTCTACACCTTGTAGACGGTGTTATATGAGTAGGTTGGCCCAGATTAACTCACTGATTAGACACTTCTAAGAAATCTGGCTGTGCAGTCAGAAACAGAGAGTACTTGCCGAATGTGGATCATTATACTAACGTGCCATTTGTTTTTGAAAGCAATTTGATAATATCAACAGCAGCACTGTTTATCTTCAGTTTATTTGATGCTGCTTAAAACCCTTTGCACATGCATTTGGAACAATTTTATACTCAGAAGAGAAGGACCATAAGTCTATCTGTGCCTAGCCAGAAATATGCTCCACTGAATACAGTGAAGCTTATGGCCAGGGAAGAGGGTGAAGAGAAATGCATCAGGACATTATATTCTTGGTGGATAACCTCCTACTGTCACCTCATTTTAGCAGCAGAAAATACTATATATTTATTTCCTGTTGCATTTTTTGAAAATTAAGGTATTGCTGGATAATTAAGGGGCTCCTTGTAAGGATGGAGTAGAGCAGTGTTTCTCAACCTGGGGGTCGAGACCCCTGGGGGGGTTGTGAGGGGATGTCAGAGGGTCACCAAAGACCATCAGAAAACACAGTATTTTCTGTTGGTCATGGGGGTTCTGTGTGGAAGTTTGGCCCAATTCTATCATTGGTGAGGTTCAGAATGCTCTTTGATTGTAGGTGAACTATAAATCCCAGCAACTACAACTCCCAAATGTCAAGGTTTATTTCCCCCAACTTCACCAGTGTTCACATTTGGGCATATTGAGTGTTTGTGCCAAGTTTGGTCCAGATCTATCTTTGCTTCAGTCCACAGTGTTCTCTGGATGTAGGTGAACTACAACTCCAAAACTCAAGGTCAATGCCCACCAAACCCTTCCAGTTGGTTATGAGAGTTCTGTGTGCCAAGTTTGATTTAATTTCATCGTTGGTGAGGTTCAGAATGCTCTTTGATTGTAGGTGAACTATAAATCCCAGCAACTACAACTCCCAAATGACAAAATCAATTCCCCTCCCGACCCCACCTGTATTCAAATTTGGGCATATTGGGTATTTGTGCCAAATTTGTTCCAGTGAATGAAAATACATCCTGCATATCAGATATTTACATTACGATTCATAACAGTAGCAAAATTACAGCTACAAAATAGCAACAAAAATAATTTTATAGTTGGGGGGGGGGTCACCACAACATGAGGAACTGTATTAAGGTGTTGCGGCATGAAGAAGGTTGAGAAACACACTGGAATAGAGTGTTCTGATGAGTTTGGGGTAGTTTTCTGCAAGGTTTCAGGATTTTTCTTCCAGAACAACCAAACTATTTTTAATAAAATTTCTTTGAGAAAGTTTATATAGTTTGAGGGACTAGTAGAGAGCTTCAAGTGCCAGAAAAGTTGAGCCAAGGAGCCACCCAAAGGCAGGGGCGGCTCAACCCATTACACAAAGTAAGCATTTGCAGTAGAGTTGGTTTTGCCCAGGGGCGCTCTTGAGGCGCTTTTGGGGGAAAATAGACCTTGACATAGGCGAGTTGTAGTTACTGGGATGTATAGTTCACCTACAATCAAAGAGCATTCTTTCTTTTCTTTTTCTTTTTGTCGTGTCAGGAGCATCCTGTTGTGAGAGAATTGGCCGTCTGCAAGGACGTTGCCCAGGGGACGCCTGGATGATTTTTGATGTTTTATCATCCTTGTGGGAGGCTTCTCTCATGTCCCCGCATGAGGAGCTGGAGCTGATAGAGGGAGCTCAACCGCCTCTCCCCGGATTTGAACCTGTGACCTGTCTGTCTTCAGCCCTGCCAGCACAGGGCTTTAACCCACTGCACCACTGGGGGCTCCTAAAGAGCATTATGAACTCCACCAATGATGGAATTGAACCAAATATGGCACACAGAACTCCCTCGACGAACAGAAAATATATATCAATTATTGGCTGGGGGGGGGGCCAAAATACTGTTTGCTTACCATTGAAAATTACCTAGGGCTGCCTCTGCCCACAGGCTCATACTTTGGACATCTGTAGTCTAGTAAAAGCTAGAGATTACTTTCCCTGAACTCATTTTAAAGGAACAAGTTATGTGAATGAAGCCCCGTGATAGCATGGGGGAAAAAAAGGGGGATTTACACTAGTGTCTTCACAAACATGCAAGACAAACAGGCAAAAGTATTTCAAAAGACCACTGGGACACGTGATGTCCAAAGCATTACAATTCACCCTAAGGGCATGCAGAAACTAGACTTCCTGTTTGAATCTGCAATCATTAAGGCCAAAGTGTATACCACTTTTTTATTGCCCAACCAAAGTAGAGTGACTCTGGGACAACAAACTACCCTAGGACCTTATTCCACACACACACACACACACACACACCCGCCCCTGTTTTAAAGCATTGAGAAAATGAAAAGTGACAGAGACCATACCATGACACAGGGGACTTTTAAAAAAGGAGGGGTGGAGTGCAGATAAGCCACTTGGTCATGGGATAAGGATGAAAATGG